TCTTGATCATAAACTACCTCTTGAAACAGTTGGAACATCAACCATTTTCTTTTGGTACAGTGACTGTGTATTCCTTCCATCTTCTTTGATGCTTTCTGCATAATTCAATAATTTTCCCAGAGAATCCTTCAATAATGAAAGTTGAGGCTTGAGTTTTTTCTTCAGTTCCCCCAGCTTGAGAAATGCTGAGCATGTTCTTCCTTTTTGGTTTTCTGATTCCAGACCTTTGCACATTTTATTGTAATATTTGGCTTTATCTTCTCAACCTGATCTTTGAAATTTTCTGTTCAGCTCTTCGTCCTCTTCGTTTCTTCCATTTGCTTTAGCATCTCTACACTGGAGAGCAAGTTTCAGTGTCTCTTCTGACATCCATTTTGATCTTTCCTTCTTTCTTGTCTTCTCAATGATTTTTGCTCTCTTCATATATGATGTTCTTGATGTCATCCCACAAATCTTCTGGTCTTCGGTCTTTAGTATTTAATGTATCAAATCTGTTCTTTAGATGATCACTAAATTCAGGTGGGATATATTCAAGGTCATATTTTGGCTCTCGTGGACTTGCTTTCATTTTCTTCAGCTTCAGTTTGAATTTGCATATGAGTAATTGATGGTTTGTTCCACAGTCTGCCCCTGGTCTTGTTTTGACTGATGATACGAAACTTTTCCATCATCTGTTTCCGAAGATGTAGTCAATTTGATTTCTAAGTATTCCATCTGGTAAGGTCCAAGTGTATAGACATCTCTTATGCTGTCTAAAGAAGGTATTTGAAATGAACAAATCATTAATTTTACAGAATTCTATCATGTGTTCTCGAGCATTATTTCTATCACCAAGGCCATATATTCCATTCTCTTTACTCTCAACCTTTGCATTCCAGTCATCAATAATGATCAATACATCTTGACTGAATGTTTGACCAATTTCAGATTGAAAAAGTTGGTAGAATTCTTCTATTTCATCCTCACTGGCTTTAGTGGTTGGTGCGTAAATTTGAATAACAGTGGTATTAACTGGGGTTCCCTGTAGGCACACGGATATTATCCTATCACAGACAGCGTTGCACTTCATGGCTGATCTTGATATGTTCTTTTTGACAATGAATGCAACACCCTTCCTCTTCAATTTGTCATTTCCAGCATAGTAAACGATGTGGTCATCGGATTCAAAATGGCCAATACCAGTCCATTTCAGCTCACTAATGCCTAAGATATTGATGTTTATATGTTCCATTTCATTTTTGATAACTTCCAATTTTCCCATGTTCACACTTCGTACAATCCATGTTCTGATCTTCAATGGATGTTTACAGCTGTTTCTCTTCATTTTGAGTTGGGCCCCATCAGCACATGAAGGTCCTGCATGCTTTACTTCATTTGCATCATCATGGCCAAGTCTACTTTGAGGAGGCAGCTCTTCCCCAGTCGCATTTTGAGTGCCTTCCAACCTGAGGGGCTCATTTTCCGGCACTATATCTGGCAGTGTTTCTCTGCTATTCATATGATTTTCAGTGAGTAAATATTGGGAAGTAGTCACTCCTTCTTCCTAGTCTGTCTTTGTCTGGAAGCTCATCTGACACCTGTCTGCCATGGGTAACCCTGTTGGTATTTAAAACTGGTGGCATAGCTTTCAGAATCACAGGAACTCACAAGCCACCATAGTACGACAAACTGACAAGTGGTGGAGGGACAAACATAAAGGCCTTAATATATACACAGTAAACATAACTAAAAAAATCACAAACAGTAGAAGACAAGATAAATGATTGGGACCTCTTAAAAAACAGACACTTAAATGCATCATAAAATTTTGCCAAAAGAGAGCCCACAGTTTGGGAAATTTTTCTTTTGTAATGAAATAACTTACAACAGACTAATCTATAAAATTTATAAAAAACTAACATCTCTACAGGATAAAAACCCACTTAAGAAAAGGGCAGAGGACATGAATAGATACTTCACCAAAGAAGACATTCAGGTGGCCAACAAACAAATGAAAAAAACATTTGTGATCATGAATCATTAGAGAGATGAAAATCAAAATAACAATGAGATATCATTTTACCCCAGCATTAATACCAAAACTAAAAAACGAAAAAATACTGGTGAGGGTGTGGAGAGACTGGACCCTCATATATTACTAATAGGAATGTAAAATTGTACATGCTCAAAAAGTTGCAAATAGAAATACTGTATTTCTAGAACCCAGCAATCCCTCTACTTGGTTTATGTATTCACAAAAAGTAAGAGCCATGATACGACTAGATATATGCACACCAATGTTCCTCGCAGTTCTATACTCAACAGCAAAAAGATGGAGACAACCTTAATGCCTAACAAGGGAAGAGTGGCTAAACAAACTTTAGTGCATACATATAATGGACTACTATGCAACACTGAAAAATAAGGATGAATCTGTGAAACACCTCATTACATGGATGAATCTGGAGGATATTATATTGAGTGAAACTAGTCAATCACTAAAGGACAAATATTGTATGAAAAGAAAAATTTTCTTATCATGAAAAAGAAAAGATTCTCATGCTAAAAGTAATATTCTTTGATGGTTACCAGGGAGGGAGGGCAAGTAATTCATTGGTTAGAGGTAGACACATGTTAGCTAAGGTGATGGAGAGGTCAGCACACAAGAAAAAGGAGGTTTACATAGAATGATGAAGGAAGAGTCAGGGAAGTATTCAAGGGCTAAAGGTGATAGAGGTACATAGTGTTATATACACAACCCTGAACAACAGTGTTCTGTGTGTAGATAAATGGACAGATACACAGGCTGAACGGGTGTGGGAAGGAGACTTGGAGTATACCCACAAATATATAAGGGCTTTAAACAGGATATTTGGGTATTTAAATATATGGGTATTTCCTTTAGCTGCAAACATACTTATGAATGTGGTAGAGGATACAGGAGGCAAAATGATGAAAACTGCTTAGATATTATCAAACATCTTAAGGCAATGAGTTCCTGGGCCTGGGTCCTCAGGACCACAGTCTCAGAATACACCATGGTCAATTGTCATGACATAGTCCACAAAGACAATGTTCTACATCCTACTTTGGTGAGTAACATCTGGGACCTTAAAAGCTCACAAGCAGTCATCTAAGATACAACTATTGGTCTTTCCATGTGCAGAAGAAAGATGAATAGTGAAAACTGAAGATGCTTATAATCAGCTAGTCCAATAAACCAATGGAGCACATGAACATCAGTTACCATGACTCTGAAACGAGAGGACTTTATAGTTCCCAGCTACCTCTACCAACTGCTCTGAAAGGGATCACATTAGGTCACAAATAAAGTAGGAGCAAATATGGAACAAAACTCAAAATTATAATATATATATATATATTTACTAGTTAGAAGGAGAATGATGGAGCCTAAGACTATCGTCCTCAACCACTCTTCAGATCTGGAACAAAACTCACCACTCATGGCCCACTTTTCAGCTAAGATAGATATAGAGTGAGGCCAGAATCATCAATCACTTAAGATCACAAGGACAACATTTACCTAAGGACAAAGATGAGATGGGATGGGAAGGAGAACAGAATGGAAAGAGGAACCACAGGGAGGAAGTGGGATAACTCTTGTTGCATGGAGGAGACTGCAATCATTGGATGAAACATAGTTTCATGATTTGTTGAATGTAACTAATGATCGTCTCTGTAAACCTTCACTCAGTTCACAATAAAAAGTTAAGAAAAAAAAGTGTCCCTACAAAAGGCAGTGCTACTCTGACTGTAAAGGAATTCTGATGCTTGTGTTCATGATATAGTAGTATATTCTACTGACCTATTTATGATTCATCAACATGAGGAATTACAAATGTAAGAAAAACAGAAATTACAAATTCAATTAGAAATTAGAAATCTGTAATTTTCAAACTTGCTTTTCATGTATAGAAGACATTTCCCCTCAAATGGTCAAGTCCTTAACAGGCATTAAACCACAGAAGAGTAGTTTTCAAGCTTTAGGATAATTTGGGGGGAAATTGTAAATGATGACATGGTTGTATTTAAACAACAGAGGGTGTTCTCTAGAACAATGAAGAATAAATTGTATGGGGATCTATTCATCACAATTTCTGTTTCACATGTTGGGGCTCTGAGTAGTTATTTTGGAAAGGCATTTATATGCTTAGTTTGTACTTGCTGATCCCTCAGACATCAAGACTGAATCAATCAGACTCTCTTGCCTGGTTTTGGCTAAAAGGAGACATTGGTAGAATGAAAGCAAGGTCAGTTAGTTATACAGGTGTTACTCGGCCCCCAGGATGTAGTTCTTAGCAGTGGCTGCATTCTCACAAAGCTTCAGATTTTGGAATACAATGCTGTCAACATCTTTAAGTGCTATCAGATCGGTTTGGACTCATAGCAACCCTGTGTAGGGTTTCCAAGGAGCGGCTGGTGAGTTTGAACCTCAAACCTTGTGGTTCAAACTGACCTTGCGGTCCAGTGTTTTAAAGTTTCCAGCTATTGGCAGGTCTGTCCACTCACTGCTACTTGTTAGTTCTCTTAGCCCAGTTAATGGCCATTCATTAAATTCCCTTCAATCAAACTCTTTGGCTATGCCATTTGATTCTCTAGGACTCTGTTTTTGTAGGGAAAATATTTTTTAAAGATCTTTTTTTTTAGCAAATCACAGCTTTAGGGGAAAGTTTAACACCAGGAATCAAAACATCTGTAAAAGAGAAAAAACAAAACAAAACATTACCTAGACTTATCAAAAAAGCTGTACAATCAAGTCATAGATCAAAATTATGGGCTAGACAAGTTGTACACTCCCACTATGATAAATAACAGGCATTTAGATTAAAGATTGTAAAATGACATCTACTTACATTTCACTGGAGGTTCAATGAGATTTAGGGCAATGTGAAATTATAGGCTTTCATTTGAAAACAGATTGTACTTATAAAATTCAAAAAAAATAGGTACTTCATAAAGTAGACAAGTATAGAGAAATATTTTGCAGATCAATAACTTACCTCTTTGAACTTGTGACTGAGTTTGCTTGTGTCCAGGTCTGATGGGGAAAACATGTCCTCGTTCTCAGGCAGTTCAAAGACTTCAATGGCCATGTCACTGCCAGGAAGGACTGGCCCTACCTCATCCTCTTCTTCATCTGTGGCATATTCCCCTGTCTAAAAGGAAGGGGATTTCAGAAATCTAGCTGGTCTTATCCCAAGTGGAGGTGGTTTATTTGAAGATACATTATAGAAGATAAATGAGAGGTCACTAAACGGCAAAAGAGTAAGTTGGTATTTAGGCCAATCATGCCTCATGCAGCCAGTGTTACAAAGAAATGTGTTAGTGCAAAGTTTCAAAGTAGCATAGGACATACATAAGTGCATTGTTAAAATTGATTCACAGCTTTGGTAACATCTTTAATAGAGCAGCAAGAGTTGCTTTTCTTCAAAATGAGTATTTGATGGTTTTACTAAATAAAATTGTGTTGTTGAAGGAAATAAATAATTCCTTTAAATTTCCACCTGCCACCTAATACTGGAAGAAGGGGACAAGAAAGAAGAGATCAAAGATTCAGGTTGGAAGGGCCCTTAAAAAGTTTTAGCAAATTAACTCTTCTAAGTTTTAGAGTTCAACAAACTGTTTTGTTTGTTTGCTTTTTAACTATTGTGGTGGTTAACTAGTGACAAGGGATAAACTGAAGCTTTATACTGGGAAGCCACACATATGTATTATTTTGCCTATGCAGTACTTTTTTATATAAATCTTAGTATTTTGCCAACATTTTAAAAAGTAACATTTCAAATACAGGTCTAGATTTCAAGCTTCTCTTGAGAATCCACAAAGCAGGCAACAGGGGTACATTGTGATGAGGCTTTCTACTCCCGTAAAGATTTATACCCTCAGAAACCCTGTACAGGGTTGCTATGGGTCGGAACCGACTCGACGGCACTTAACAACAACAACAACAAACAACTGGCCAGAGTTACCAGTGGTCACCCCTTTCAGATGGGTCATGAACATTCTAACACACCACAATGCCCCGAACTCAATTTGTTCAATTTTCCTCCTTTACAATACTTGTAGGCCCTTGTAGGTATTTGAGTTCATGACCCCAGGAACAAATGATTCTCCTCAATACTAATTCCTTAACATTAGTAGTTAAGTAGGGCTCCTTCAGGCTGTGAGACTGCAATTCAAAATAACTGTTTAAATCTCTATAATGTAATTAAAAGATAAGTCATTGATTCATTTATCTTTAACGATTCTTTAAAAGATGAAGTTTATTAAATGTATCCTTGTTCCTTCAGGTAGTACTAGACCTATATATAAACACAGATAAGAATTCATAATGCCTTTAGAAAAACTTACATAATAACTTATTAAAAACTTTCATAGGTCATTCAATAATCTAAATGATCAATTATTTTCATTAACAGTCTTAGCATCTATGGCTTTTCTTTCAGTTTTGTACTATATTCTCTATGCTAAAGTTGGAACCCTAGTTCTTTCTGCCTATATTTATATGCTATTTTGTTGTTGTAGTTAAGTGCCGTCGAGTTGGTTCCAACCCATAGCAACCCTGTATAGGTTTTCTGAGGAGTGGCTAGTAGGTTTGAACCGCTGATATTGTGATTCAAACCAACCTTATGGTCTAGTGCTTATTATATGGTGCTACACCAGGAATCCATATATGTGTATATATAACTAATATATGTGTGAGAATATATGTATGTTTGTGTGCCTGTATGTAAGTAGTATGTATCTGTGTGTATGTGTTGCTGTTGTTAAGTGCCGCTGAGTTGGTTCCGACTCATAGCGATCCTGTATAGGGTTTCTGAGGAGCGGTTGGTGGGTTTAAACCACCAACCTTGCAGTTCAAACCAATCTTATGGTCCAACGCTTATCCTACAGCGCCATACCAGGACTCTAATTTACAAACTCCAATGGGTAGTTTATAAATTCCAGTGGTCTTAAATTAATATGACTACTAGGAACCACTGTAAGGAGCTCTGGTAGCGTAGTGGTTACGAAACAGGCGGCAAACCTTAAGGTCAGCAGCTCGAAACTACCAGCTGTTCTGCGGGAGAAAGATGAAGCTTTCTGTTCCAGTAAAGATTTACAGTCTCGGAAACCCTGTGCAGGGTCACTATGAGTTCAAGTCTATTCGATGGCACTTAACAACAGCAACAATAATACATATGTCAGGAAATTAATACAAGGGCCTTCAAAATTTGTGAAATATGGAAAGAAAATATAATGGAAGTTTTCCACAAACATGTGAAAGCCCCCTCTTATGTGCCTCGGATGGGATATGACATATAACAGGATCTCAAAAAATGTATTTTTGAAAAAAATACATCAAAGAATGCCAACTGCGATTAGCTGGTAATATCAGTTGTTGTTATTTTTTTAAGTGTAGTCAAGTCGGTTCTGACTCATAGCGACCCTGTATAGGATTTCCAAGAAGCAGCTGTTAATCTTGAACCACCGACCTTGCAGTCCAGCGCATTAACCCACAGTGCCACAACAGGACTCCTGGAAAACTAGAACCTTCTAAACAGGTTTTCAATAATATCAAGAAAATTAGCTACAAAGTCATTTTCTGAAGGCAGTATTCTGTCATATGTATTTTAATCCCCATTATAGCTCTAGTGCTGTGCTGCAGGATAAGCACTGGACTGCTAACCATAAGGTCGGCAGCTCTTGGGAAACCCTGCACAGGGTCACTATGAGTCGGAACCGACTCATGGCCCTTAACATAGTGAATAATAAATTTAGAGTATGCACAACATACACAATTCCTGCTTTTAAGTATGGTTCTTACTTTGTAATCCATTTTAATTATCAAAATAATTCACTTAAATGCAAGTTATTATAATTCCTCATGATTCTTTCACTTTTGACTTGGCCAATCACTTCTCCTTTCCAATATCTAAATTGCCTACAATCTTGATAAAATCCTATCTTTCATTTCTTTTTTCCATTGACACATGTTTTCTCTTTTTAATTATTCTTATACCGAGGATAAGATATGTCTGTTTACTGTTTTGATTCAGCTTACTATTTATTATAGTGCTCTGAAGAGGGCACGTTATGCTGCCAATGCCTCCCTGAATAGGCCTAAAATAAAGGATTCTTTGCTACAGCATTTTATAAACATCTGGAAATGAAAAAGTAACATTCAGTGGGCTAGGAAAAATGGGTTCTTGTGATTCTTTTATCTTTATTGAAAATGAAAATTATTCTTATGGTTACTCTGCAAATAAAATGCTACTGGACTTAATCTGGCACTTACAGGGAAATAGACAATGTTGCAAATACATGTATGTGATCCACATAAGTATGTATATATATATGTGTGTGTGTGTGTGTTTGTGTGGCTCTGTGGGATAAAGCACTGGACCTCAAGGTCGGTTTGAGCCACAAGGTCGACATTTCAAACTCATGAGCTGCTCCTTGAAAGCCTAATACAACATTACTATGAGTCAGAACCGACTTGACGGCACTTAACAACAAAATTTATGTATATACACGCATATGCACACAGTAAAACCTGCAAAATCTAAAATCTGAGGTGGAAACCTGTTCAGGGAAGGAAAACTCTTATTATTTTCCAACAAAACAAGTGATAGAACAGTGTAAGACTGCACTCTGTCACGGTGGAAGTCAACTTCTGAGACCCAGAAAAGCAAGGCTGTTGTGTCAAGTTCTGGCGACTTTCACAGATTTCACTATATATATGATTGGGGCTTTAAAAAGTTCATGAAAAAATAAAATGAAAAGATAATTTTTCTTTCACAAACCTTCGTAGCCCCCTCACTTGTGCGTGTGTGAAGCATTTTCATTGGTAGTTAGTTCCTTAATTTTCTTCCTGACCACGGTCATCATATTTCAAGTAACCAGAGACTCTTGAAACTCCTTGTTGCAATCCACAAATTCTCTTTAAATGAGGCAAGAACAACTCCTAGCGCAGGAACTTATAGTGACAGTAAATGTTCCATTTCATCACCTTATCTTGTCCCATAAAAGGGACAAAAATGAATAATGATCATTTTGCAACACTTACAGTATACCCACAATTTCCCAATCCTCAACAGCTATTTGATGTAGGTATTAATGTGTCATTTTAATCTAAAGAAAATGCAACTCAGACAGTTAACCCCAGTCAGACAGTAAGTGTTTGAAGCTACATCTAACATTTCAAAGCCATGGTCTTTGAAATTCTGCTCAGTCTACTGAAACTACAGATTTGTAGAATAGAATCTGGAATACATTCCTTTCATATTTCCCAACCGAAAGCACTGTTGCATAATCCTGTTGTGTTGAGATTCTCATTCCACAACTCTAAACATGATCATTCAGCTCTCTTTGAGGACTTATACCTGTTTCCAGGCAACTCTAAAGTTCTAATCTCCTTAGGTCAGTACACTGAGAATGCTGGTGGTGCTGTAGGGTACGTACTGGACTGCTAACCACAAGGCCTACAGTTCAAACCCAGCAGCTGCTGAGAGATAGAACGATAAGGCCTTTGGTTCCCATAAAGATTTATAGCCTCTGAAACCCTATACAGGACAGCTACAAAACCAGGTGAGAGAAAAGGACAAGGCTCCACCAGGAGGGTCAGTAGTTGGTGGATTAATTGCAGTGGTTAATCTGAGAACATTTCCTAATTATAGTTGTTGTTGTTGTTAAGAATGGAGTACTTAGGAAAAAAAGAAAAAAGGTCATTTTATGTTAACTTAAATCATCAAAATATTCACCTATTGGCCTATCTTTACAAAGGCTAAGCCTCCTTGGCTTTTGGGTCTGCTGTCAAGTGTTTTATTTACTCTTTTCTATAAAAAACAGAATGCTAACATATTATCTATAATATTATTTCAGTGTCTTTAAAATGGATGAAAACTGCAAGGTGGAATGGGTACAAAATCCCCCTCCACATCTTAGTTTTACCTTTCCCTTTCACATCTAAACTTCTTGAGCTACCAGACTTTACGGGATCTTTCCAGAATACTTTAGCTAGTTTTCATAGGTGCAACTTTTATATACTCATATTACATCAGAATTCTTAGAATTTTATCAAAGTACATAATTGCAATAACAAATGCAGCTGCTAAGCTCTGCCTCTTGGCAAACGTAGGATGTGGGGAGACCGAAGTGTGTGGACATATGAAAG